CGCACCATCAGCAGCTGCAACCCAACAACCAAAATCCGGTGCAACAGCCGCCACCGCCACAGCTCACGCAACTGAATCAGCTGAATCATCTCAACCATCAGGGAATTGTACCAGTGACGACCAATCAACCCACTGTTCACAGTACCAGCTGTTCGCCACAACAGCAGGCTACAACACCCAACAAGGTTAGAGTTTTTCTTTCTTTTTCTATTTATTTATAGTTAAGGAATTATCCTTGCGGCAGAAGTTTCTTACTACTTAAGAATCATTTTCTTAACCTACATTAGGTAAATTAGAAAAATTAATTGTTTCTGTTAAATAGTATAAAAATATGTATTATTAATTTCCTGAACTAAATGAGAAATACAGGATTCTATACACTCTACAAAAAAGAGTGGAATTTTAGCTTTTGATAGGTTTCTAAAGTCGCACTTTTTGCGAGTTAATGAAAAAGAGGACAATTTATTTTACTTCTGTTTAACTCAAGGAGCAGATTCCTAACTTGAAAAACTTTACTCCCAATGTAAATGGTAAATCCCGATGTCATTTTATTCATAAATTTTTTAAAGTGTAAAAGTCGGTTCCCAGACATTTTTCCGAAAACAATTTTCCGAATTAAAATTTCCGAATATGTTTATTATCCGAAAAGCTTTTTTTCCGAAAGTCTTTTTCCGAATGGTTTTTTCCGAAGGACATTTTCCGAAAATGATTTTTTACGAATTCATTATTCCGAATAGTTATATTTTCCGAATGCATTGTTTTCACTATTTTGGGAGTAATTCAGAAAAACCGACTTCCCGGAGAAGAACCTCAAGTCATACCTATTCCTTTCGTTTTTGCTCTACTATCGTCAAAATCTACTAATCAATATGAACTTGTTCTTCGAGCTGTTCGATCTGCCTGTCAAAATTATTCTATACCGTGTATGCCGCAAAAAATTATGATGGACTTCGAAAAAGCTATTATTAACGCTTCTGCAAATATTTTCCCTGATGTACCACTGTCAGCTTGCTTTTTCCATCTTGGACAATCTCTTTATCGAAAAATCCAAGACGAAGGATTACAAGCCAGATACAATGATGCCACTGACCGCGAACTAAAAATTAGCACTCATATGATTTTAGCTTTAGCATTTGTACCACCTGATGATGTTCAACGCGTGTTTCGACTTCTTGCTGATGAAGTACCGGAGGAATTATTCCCAATTATTGATTATTTTGAGGAGAATTACATTGTTGGACGTCGTGCAAGAGGTCGTCGTAGGGCAGTTCCACCTCGTTATCCGATAAATTTATGGAATCAATTTCAGGCGACTTTGAGCGGCAGTCATAGGACCAACAATATAAGCGAGGGCTGGCATAATCGCTTTCGATTGGTTGTCGGCAAACATCATCCCGATTTGTATTCGGCTCTGGAAGAGTTTTTGAAGGAGCAAGACGATTCTGAAACAATTATTAATGAAGTAGCTTTGGGACGTACTGTTAAGGCAGGACCAAAAAAGAAGTGGCTTGCAGTTCAACGGCGAATAAGGCTTATTGCTCTTGAATACGACGAATATAATGACGAAAACCGTGTTCTCGAGTATTTAAGAAATCTAGCTCACAATATTGTCATTTGATGTAAGATTTTTAATTAAAATTTTTTTTTAATTCGGAAAGAATAACATTCGGTAAAATAAATTCGGAAATTTAAAATCGGAACTCTGTCTTTCGGAAGAAAGTTTATTCGGAAAACTGTCTATTCGGAAAATTGTATTCGGAGAAATGACCTGTAATCGTAAAAGTCACTCCTTTATGGAGTTAAAGATAAGGGAGTAAAATCAAAAGAGTTACAATTTTATACATTTCAATTCAATTTTATTTCACTTTCACTTTGAAAGATTTATATTACAATTAATAAAAGTAAAATCAAAAGAGTTACAATTTTATACATTTCAATTCAATTTTATTTCACTTTCACTTTGAAAGATTTATATTTTTACTTTCATTTTTACTATTACTTTGAAAGATTTTTATTCTTACCTTTACTTTTATTTTCACTTTGTATCAAAGTGAAAGTGAAAATAAAAGTGAAAGATGAAAAACACTGCAAAAATTAAGTATCTTAAAAATAACTTTGCAGTCACTTTTAAAATACTTTTTTTTAAAAGTGAATTTATTAAAATGATAGTGAAAGTGAAAGTAAGTATAAAAATCCATTAAATTAAAAACAAAGGTAAAAGAAACATCTCTCAATGTTAAAGTAAAACTTAAATGAAAAACAAAAATCAAAGCGCATGATTATTCCCCAAATGTCATTTGACCGAACTTTTGTCACTTTTGGGAATCGCTATTTTTACGAATTGACACTTTTTCGAAAAGTCATTTTTGATAAATATTATTTTTACGAATTGTTATTGTTCCGAAATGTCATTTTTCCGAATTGTCACTTTTGCGAAATGTCATTTTTGACAATTGTCATTTTTGCGAATTGTCATTTTGGCGAGAAGTCATTTTTGCGAATTGTCATTTTTACGAAATGTCTTTTTCGCGAATCGACATTTTAACGAATTGTCACTTTTGCGAAAAGTCATTTTTACCAATTGTCATTTTTAAGAAATGTCACTGTTACGAATTGTAATTTTTTCGAAAACAGTGACATTTCGTAAAAATGACAATACGCAAAAAGGACAATTGGTAAAAATTACTTTTCGCAAAAGTGACAATTCGTAAAAATAGCGATTCACAAAAATGACATTTCGTAAAACTGACAATTCGCAAAAATGACAATTGGTAAAAATGACTTTTCGCAAAAGTGACAATTCGTAAAAATGGCGATTCACAAAAATGACTAAGAAATGTCTAAGAAATTTTAGAGTATCATTAACATTTTTAAATTTGATTATACAAAATTGTTATTTTTTACTGGACAAATACATAAGTTCAACAAAAACTAAAAATTTATTTACTAAAATAAAAAATGTCTTCTTAAATTAAGAATTCATTTAATTTTTCTTTTCTTTTTGGAAATAATTAAAAATTTCAAATTTGTATGGCGAAAAAAAAAATTTCGAATGGCGAACGAAAAATGATGACTGAATTAAAAAATATATTCTTAAATTAAGAATACCCCTTTTTTTGGAAAGTAAATCAGAATTTAGTCTTTTGAAGAAATTTCTGCTGCAACGAATGTTGTGATTTTTTGTATGACAAAATTTTTGGAAAATTTTAAATTGAATTACTTGAAATTATAGGGACATTTTTCAAATTTATTCCAGTTTTGTAAATTTACGAAACAATTTGATAGAAATACAAGTTTTACGATGCATACTTCCTTGAAAATTTCATGCCTAGAAATTTGCGAGCGTTGACAAACAATTTGGCAACCTTTACTCAGGAACTTTTCGCTTAGTCCTTTGACATGATGAATATTTCGAAAAAAGGAAATTATTTTACAAAATAATAAAATTTAGAGAGTACAGATCATTATAAACTACTAATAATTATTATTAGTAATAAATATAGAAATAGTATTAAATTAATAATAAAAATTATTAATTAATAAGGTCAATATTAAAAATTATTGATTATTATGAATCACTATAGTAAAATTTGACTAATTAAAATAAACAGTTCTATTAATTGTTAGTGAAATTCTATTAACAATTAGCAAAATTTCACTGATTCCAGGTAAAATTACTAATAAATTATTTGGTAGACGACTTTTCGTCATTTCATAGGTAACTTTCTATTAATTTAGATTTAGAGTGTTATGACTAATAATTATTAATTATTATGAAGCACTATTTGTTATATTACTAATAACTATTAATTATTATGAATCAGTATTATTTATTACGAATAAAATTAAATTTTAATTATTATCGTTACCATTATTTTTATTTATTTACTTATTTACGATTTAGTAACAAGAAATATTTTCTTACCATTTGCTAGTAAATTTTTAACTAGTTCAAAAGCATAATGATTACTATATTATTTTTTCTAAATCTATTTTTAGAGAGAAATAAATACTGAAGTATTTTTTGCTTTCTAAAATAAAATTAGAAAAAATACTAAAGCAGAAAATACGAAATGCACTTTCAAAAATTAGAATTAAAATAATTTTTATGACATTTATTTATTTTTTTAAATCATATTTCTTAACTAAAACGTTATAGAATATTTAAAGCGAGACATAATCGCTATTTAAAGTTTTAATTAGATGATGGATTGTGTTAGAGATTAAAATTATTATTATGAAGATTATTTGATTAAGATAACCACTTGTGATTAATGGCAGTATTCCTTATCCAAAAGATTACAAAAGATTTATAAGAACACATGGGTAAATAATTGTTTCATAAGCGGCTAAAAGCATTCATTAATTTTTGAGTAAAATTTGACAAATTAACAAATTTTATTTAATTACTTAATTAACGCACACACTGTAATATTATCCGCCTATATATTATGATTTAATATTTGCATAATAAATCTTATTATTCATTCAATATTGAATTATTTCGAAATTAGCTTAATTGAAATTTAGAACTAATTACAAATTTTGTTACAAAATTGAATATTAAAGTAAATATTTCCCCGCTGGTAATTAAATTATTGTTATATTAATTTGCGATAAAAATTAAAAATTAAATAATATTTTAATACAACAATTTTTAACTATTAAGTACTGTAGTATTTTTTCGGTCTACAATTATTTCTGTAAATTTAAAAATTAAACTATAGGCGCCTACACTCTGTTTATGATTTTATTTGACTAATTTCTAATATAAAAATTAAAAATTAAAGTTGGATATTTTTTAAATTCTGAAGTATTTACTAATTTGGTTAAGAACTTTTTTTTTTGAAGATGATGAAATACAAAAAAAGAAATATTAAGTTTTCTAAGAAGGCGATGTTTCGGAGGCTATTTAATTTTTTAATTTTTAATAAATAAACTTTTTGTTTGAGCTTTTTGGAAGCTTATTTGAAACTTACTTAAAGTTTATTTGAAATTTTCTTGAAATTAAAGATTAATTAAAGTTAAACGACTATAACAATAAAGTAAATTTTAATAAACAAAATTTACTTACACAAAGAGGTTAAAATTCCCATCGATATGACCGCTTATAGTGAATGTTAAGAATTTTTCGGGGGTAACAAAAGTGTATAATGTGTCTTCTTTTCATTTCTTCTCGCCGGTGTCTTTACCATATCGCGTGTAGTGAAGCGCTTTTATTATCCTGGCGTGGATTCAAGTCAATTTTCTTTAGCGAGCCATAACTCGCTGAAGGATGTACCATGGTCGAAGCATGGACCATGCCTTGGCAAGGTTGTCACAGTAGGAATGTGGCTTAATTTTCCCCAGAGTCTGGAAGCACCAGTTTTCGACGTGGTTTTGCTCCTCCTTTGGCGCCGCCTCGCCATACTCCTTGGGATATAAGAAAAGACATTTTCAATTTTCACACGATCAATTATATTTATCCCTATAATGTCACTATATGTGTACACAAGCAAGAGTCATAAATTTAATAAATTTAATGAAAAATAATTAGAAAATATTTTTTTCAATGGAAGATGATGAAAAAAATACTTTACTGTTTTCAATTTATTGAAATTTATTTAACTTTAATTAATAAAGTTTACATATTTATTTATATATTTTTTTAATAGAAATATAACTATGTCACATGTCGTTCCTGCCACATATTTTCTAAGGATATCAAATTGAGACAAAAAATGTATCAAAAAAGTTGTTTCGCAACATTTTTGATATATTTTTTGTCTCAATTTGTTATCCTTAGAAAATCGGACTGCGCATTAGTGCAAAAAAATGCAGAAAATAATTTAACTGGGAAAATTTAAAAAAGTACGTTTCCATATAAAAGGAATTAAATAATTAAACAATTAAATAAATGTAATGAAGCAATAGAAAATAAATAAGAATGGGAAATGGAAAAAATAATAAATATACTAATTATTATAATAGAAGAAAAATTATTATTTTATTTTAGAATTGTATTCGTAGAATTTTAACTTAATGCATAAATGTTTAATTACTCTGAAAATAAAATGTAAGGGAGGGAAAGTAATACAATATTGAAAATAAATTATGAATTACATTTCTAGAGTAATTACAATGAGTATAAATATATAAACAATGTTATTGTTACGAACTTTCTGTAAAGCTAGAGCGATTTGTTTACATTGAGGTCAAAACAAAAGTCGACCGGGATATAAAACTCAAGGTTGAAATAATAGACAATATTATAATTTTCATCTAAATGCGTCAGTTTTAATTCCTGCTTCGACCTGTTTATACCTGAAAATTTGTCCTCTTGCGTTTTGCTTTTGATTTCGAAAAATCATTTAGCTTTCTTCTATTGAATTTCCTTTCATTCATTAATTAAAAATTTTTTTTTTTTATTACAATTTTTTTTTTATTCTCCATTTATTTTAATTATTACTATTATTTTTTTGCATTTCTTTGTTATTTATTCTTATTTATTTCTTTTAGTTATTCTTCTGTTATTCATTGCTATTGATTTTTTTTTATTTATTCTTAATATTTTTATTTATTTTTTATTTCGTTGTACTTTCTTTAATTTAAATGTTTCTCCTTTAAATTTTAATTTTTAATTTAAACTTACTTCCTTTTTCAATATAAAAAATCGTTCATCCTCTGATTGATTTATTTTGATTTTTTATTTTGACTAAAAAAGACAAAAACTAAAACAAAAATTAAATTAAATAGCTGCGTGAATGTTCACAATTTTAAATTTTCGAGCGATTAAAAATTAAGTGAAATAAAAATATTTTCCTTACGTTGTTCATTTTTGATTTTAAAAGTTTTTTTTGTGCTTCAAAAAGAATTTGTGTTTAGTGTTGTGTAAGTGATCTCAAGATTTTTCACTAGAACCTTTAGAATGCAGAGTGGGGAAATGATTTCGAATCATCTACATAAATAAGGTTCAAATTATTTTATTTTCTATAATACATAATATATTGAAAATAAATTAAAAATAAATAAATAAAATAATAATAAATAATAAAATTCTACTGGACGCTCTTTACATTTTAATTAGTAAAAATATACACTTGTTTGAATAAGTGACTTAATTTTTGCTATTATATTAGTAACTTTTACTGATTAATAGAAATTTTTACTCATTTATTACTTATTAGTTAAATTTACTAATTCTTATTTACTAAATATTTGAATTAATTAAAATTATTTAAAATACCTTGACTTTACTAAATTTGAATTAGTGAAAATGTTTACTAATTTGAATTAATTACTAACTTTTTGCTGTTGAATTAGTAAATTTTTCTGATAAATAGCAATTTTTACTAATTTATTAGTAAAATTTACTAATTTTAATTTACTAAATATTTGAATTTAATAAAATTATTTAAATTGAATTTACTAAATTTAAATTGAATTTACTAAATTTAAATTACAAAAAGTGTTTACTAATTTGAATTAGTGACTGACTTTTTGCATTTGAATTAGAAAATTTTACTGATTACTAGAAATTTTTACTCATTTGTTAGTAAAATTTACTAATTCTAATTTACTAAATATTTGAATTTAATAAAATTATTTAAGATACCTTGAATTTACTAAATTCAAAGTAATAAAAATATTTACTAATTTCAATTAATGACTAACTTGTTGCTGTTGAATTAGTAAATTTTACTGATAAACACGAATTTTTATTTACTAATTTACTAATTTTAATTTACAAAATATTTGAATTTAATAAAATTATTTAAAATACTGACTTGAATTTACTAAATTTAAGTTAGTAAAAATGTTTACTAATTTGAATTAGTGATTGACTTTTTGCTTTTGAATTAGTCAATTTTACTAATAGTAGTTTTTATTAATTTATTAGTAGAATTTACTAGTAAATAAAGTTTTGTAATAAATAGTAGTTTATTTGTAATTTATTAGTAGAATTCACTAATTAAGAAGCAAAAAGTCAGTCACTAATTTAAATTAGTAAACATTTTTACTAAATTCAAATTTAAAGAGCAAACAAATTTATAGTATTTTTTACTATTTTAATTCTGCAAAATCTAAATTATAAAAAATTTCTGCTTATTTCTGCTTTGCAACTTTTACTATTTCTTTTATTTTATTTCAAAATTAGTATAAAAAATTTTCTTAAAAAAGTAAAAAATTGACAAAAATGCGAAGAACTTTTTTTTGCAATACGTTACTGGTAAGATAATGAAAGTTTCTTTATTTGTTTTCCTTGTAAATTACTTTATTTTTACTAAAAATTCCATAATACTCTGTAAATTTGAATAAGTGAGATTTCACAACAGTTGTAAAGGAAATTTTACTCGTTTAAATTTAAAATTTATAGTAAGTAAAGGAACGGAAATAAAAATTTTTATACTAAACATTCAACTGAAGGGACCAACAATTGACTTAAATTTTAGTAAAGTAAATTTAGTTATAATTATAATTTTAGTAAACTTAAAATTTCCTAATTTGACCAAAAAGAATACGTAAAACAAAACAAAATACGATCAAAGAGATTTGTTAACTCGCGATAAAATGAACTTTTATAATTTTATTTAGAAAAAAAGGGAAGATAACTTATTATAACCAGGAGTTTTCGTATAGTTGAGATGCAAACCGTAAAATAAGTAAGACGAATAAATTCGTAGGACAGAGAAAAAGTAGTGAGTGAGAGAGAAGGAGAAAGAGAGAAAAAGTGAGAGAGAAGGAGAAAGAGAGTTAAAGATGGCTTTATAGCCTGCTTTCAAGAATGAAGGTGGGAAGAAAAGAGAAGACGTCGGAGAGAGATACCTGAATTCTAAAGGGAGGGAAATGACTCCTATCTTGGTAGGGAAACCGGGGGAAGAAGAGCGGCAAGACTTTGCAAGTTGCTCACGTAACTTTATTAATTAAAGGTTGTTAGTCCTTGTTGCTCGATACACTTTGAGTATACACTTTATACGTATACTGGTGCTTACAATTTTACACGAAAGAAGACGAAGACGACTTTAAGTTATGCCATTTTTCAAACTTCACGATCATTCTTAATTTATGAATTACAAATTAAAAAAGAATTTCTTTTTAATCCCAAATATACATCTCGAGTATTCTTTTTTTTATTTTTATCTAAAACCGAATTGGTAAACCGTTGCCATAATATTTCGTTCAATAATATTGACTTTGTCATCAATTTTTCAATGCTGCACGTGACTTTTATAACCGTCATGAAATTTATTATTGAACCCCCTCTCTCCCCCACTGTGTTTTTTTTCTATCACTCCATCTCTCTCACTTCGCTTTGTGACTCTCTGCAAAAAAAAAAAAAAAAAAAAAAAAACCGTTGTAAAACTGTCACGTGAGTTATGGCACTGTCTCTAACACTTAACTCGTTTTCAACATTTGAAATTGACACAGAGATAAAAATTTTTTTGCCCGTATGTGCTTTACCATTTACAACTGACTACGATTCTATAATGTTTTTTTGATTTATTGTTTTCTATTTATTCGGGATTTTGAGATTTTCTTTTTTTTTTATTTTGTTACCAAGTTAATAGTGATAAATTTTTTGTTTTTACCCTGCATTTTTTTATGGGAAAAAAAGATTTTTTTTATTGTTGAGCGATGGTAAATAAATCTTTTTACAAGCAATTAATTTCTGGGGGATTTTTTTTAAGTAATAAAATGTCGATTAATGGGGAAATAATTTTTGGAAAAATTTAGTGGAGTATATGGGTGATTTTTCTGAGAGTGACACTTGGGTTGTTTTATTTTTTCAATTTATTTATTTTTTTTTTAAATTGCTTTTTCTATGAAATTATTTTTTTAATGTTCAGAAGAATTTGTCTATTATATAAATTCAGATTAATAAAAGAATGCAATTTTTTAAGTACTAAGTAAATTTACTGTGCAATTTTTAATTTTAAAAAATACTTTAATAAAACTTTACATTTTTTTAATTTTTTTTTACAGTAAACTGTTTATGAAAATTTTTTTATTTTATTGAAGGATTTTTAAAATTTAAAATCATCAGAATTTTTTCATTTTTTTTTTCATTAAAAGATTAAAATTTTGTTAAATATTCTGTTTTGTCAAATTGAAATTATGCAGATTTTTGTTCTTTACTTCTAAACAAAATTAGAAAATTGTTAAACAACTGTGATTAAGAAATAAAAAGTTTATTTATTTTGCATTATTTTTGTTTATGAATCACAATTGTTTTAACAAAATTATTATTTTGTTTTAGAAAAAGAAGAAAAATATTTGCACAATTCCTGTTTTCAATCTTATTTTTGGAACAAAATTTACCACAGGAATTAAGAAATTCAAAAATTTTAAATTCAAATCTTTTTCAAATATATATATTGTTACTGTAACTTCATCAAAATTATTTTTATCATTTTAATTCAATTATTATTTTC